AGCTTTTGGAACGCAGGCTAAAGATAACAAGAGGGTGAAGTCATGGGGTGTTATTGTGTTATCAAAGGTGGAAAACTCACGCTGGTGACGCGACGACCCAAAGACCTCCCGAACATGTATAGGATGGCATGAGAGTCGTAGCCTGTAAATTAATTTGGAACACGTAGCTACCTGAAATTATCACCAAAAGTGTATTTTAGTTGTGTGCTCTATTGCGTTATTTTCGAAGCGTAGCTCTGTTTCTGTGAAAAATACGAACATGATTACCCTACGGCCAGGTCGCAGAGAGCTCTTGGGGTCGACCGACTGCTCTATCCAACCCGAGCTTGCTGCAAAATGATTTTTACTATTTAAAATAGAAGCGAGGACTAATTTCACGACGGACTCAGGTCAAATCGAGCGACTGGGTGGTTCTTACTCTCGCCCTGTCTCGGTTGTCTGCGCCAGTGCTTGCCATAGAGATTTAGAGAAATCTTGGAGCGTGCAGTATAAGATACACCCTGGTTCAAAATTTGAAATAGTTACATGCAGAAGCTCATATTTCAGTCCAATTTACAGCTCAGCACTCTATTCGGAAAACTCAAAAAGTGGCGGCTCATTGCAGCACACTGCAAGTGAGACGACTGGCGGTAGCCATTGTCTCATAGACAGAGGAGGGGAAAAGGGAGACGGCTGAGGGGGAAGGTGAGCGATGAGATGGGAAGGAGAATAGAGGCAGGAAGAAAGAGATCAAGTATGAAGGTCGAAGGCCAAAAACACACGCTCACACAAGGAAGAGAGGAGACAAAAGGAAAAGGGGAATGAGGATGAGAGGTTGAGGGAGCATGAAGAGAAAGATGAAGAGAAGTGGGACAGGGAGGAGCAAGATCAGACGGAGGAGAGAGGAAAGAGGGGAGGAAGAGCACACAGAGGGAATATGAGACCAATGGGGGAGAAGGAGTGGAGGGGAATGAGGAGATGGGACGGGGTGGGGCCAGGTAAGACGTAAAACATCGCAGGTCATAGGCCTCGGTTGCATGGACACAAGATCACACCTCCCCGACCACTCAAAATGAAGAGCCATATGCAGCTGCCACCAAAAAGAAAAGGTCAAAGGCCATGAGCATAGAATCACTCAAACGAGAGAGAAGGGGGAAGAGGGGAGGAAAGATGAGTAGGATGGGTAGCGGGAAGAGGAAGGTGGACAAGAGAGTAGAGGAAGAGGGGAGGGAGGAATAAGGAGACCGAGGAGATAGAAGGGGAGATGGCGAGGAGGAGCAGTCAAGGGTCCGAAGTCGAGATCAAAGGTCAAAGGCAACGAACATATATTCCTATGAAGGTGGGGAAGGGGGGGCCACAAACATTAAATCATGCGAGGAAATGAGGAGTGAAAGGTTAGAAAAGGCAACATAGGAGAGATGGGACGGGGATGGGATGAGATTAAAGAAAAGTGAGTGAGAGGGGGGGGGGAGGGGCAGGTAGGAAGGAGATCTAACATCAAGGGCCACGGATACAAGGACGCACTCCGCCGACCACTCAAAATGAAGGGCCCCAAGGGGGGAGGCACTCACTTTATCGAGTGACGTGTTAGCGAATGTCCACGTTTCACCGAATGACACTTTAGCGAAAATTCGGACCCTGCGAAGCGGCGTTTTCGGGTAGGCCAAATGGGTTCACATTTTTGTAATGAGCCGCCGCAGACTCGCCGCGCGGCGGATGGGTTAACGCGCGCCCCCGTTATTCGCTAAAACGTCGATTCGCTCGAATGTCGCTGTTTGCTAAAACGTCATTCGCTCATCTAATATGGACCCTAATTATAATGAAACGAGTATAATCGCACACACATTGTTAGCCCCCGTTCACTTCTCGCCAAAGAGCCGTCGACACGAGAACATATTTGAGCTTGAGGCTTCGAAGCTCGCTCTGCGTGGACCACTCTTTGCCCACCTTTGTTATCTGGACACATCACAATGGCACAGCACAGTCGCATAGCTACGGTACTACCGTTTCGATGTTAGCAGTTCACTATCGTTACCGATATTACGGTCGAGCTCATCCACTGATCACTGCAAGACGTTGCATGATCGCCATCGTCCGCCATGATTGCACACTAGTACGGCATTACGGTTATGGCTGTACGGCTTATAGCAATTTCCAATTTCTCCAATCGATGTAATGTTTTATAACTCTTAAAAAAACTTATTTTAGTACTGTCAGATAAATTTCCACAGTTTATTCCTACTTGAAACTTCATGTCTAGTCGTTTACTCGTTTACGCACACTGTTGACAAGCCAAGACGCCAAGAGTGCAAGTAGCTCAAGCCAAGCAAAGTCGAAGCCAGGTTGACCACGTGAACGTATGTCAACGGACCGTCAAGGCCTGTTTCATCGGACCGCTCTGCCGATCTTTTGGCGTGGAGGAAACTTAAACAAAGGTATGTTTCATTTTCGTTGTTGTTACTACTTGTGCTGAACAATGGAGCGGGCGAAGCGTTCGCTATCAGAGCTATCCGATCGCCAAAAAAGACGTAGAGTAGCCGAAAGTGTTCGCAAGGAACTTGAAAGTTGCGGTACGAGCAGTGAGGAGTCGGTGGACACTGAGGAAGCATACCCTCTTTCACCTGGACGACAGGCCGTGGCAGCACATGCAAGTTTTTCCGGAGAGTTTGAATACCAACGAGCTTCCGAGTGTGAATCTGAGTCGAGTGATACGAGTGGTGCACGAAATAACCTAATCTCAGAACACCTGTGTCAAAATCCCCGCTGTGAATTCCCCGCGTTACCTCCCCCTCTTCAAAATCCCCGGCCTTCAAAACCCCCTTTCCTGTATCCCCTTATCAGTTCCCCCGGGCCAGTGGTCCTTAGAAACCAATTGGAAAAGCGCTTTTATGGAAACTTCATAAAGCTGAGCTCTGTTATGACCATCCTACCCAGCCCCAAATTTTCTTTGACACACTGTGATCTTGCAGAATCTCTCTTGAGAGAGTTTGTTTCTGGAGCTGGTACCTTGTATGAGGGGGTTTCTGTCTACAACATGCACTCCCTGATCCACCTGACAAGACGTTCGACGGTTCGGCCCTGTAAACACCTTCTCGGCCTTTCCCTTTGAGAACTTCCTTGGGAAGCTCAAGAAGTTGGTGAGGGGTCCTTCCTTGCAACTGCAGCAGGTTATCAAGAGGCATTCAGAAGTGAATCCCACCACCGTGTCAAGTCCTGTGCAACAGAAGTGTGCTCTGCTCAAGCAACAACCTGACCCGCCAAGCTTCAAGAAAACCCAGTGCAGTGAGCTTGTTTTAGACGGAGCACATTTCTCTCTGAAGGCTTCCGACAACTGTGTTCAACTGAAGTATGGCAACATTGCTGTTGTTAGGAACTTCATTGAGTCAGATGGGAACCGTAGCATCTGCGTACATTTTTTCCGAAATCTCGGCAACCTTTATACTTCAAAGCTGCCATCATCAGAGCTAGGAATTTTTAGAGCTACAGGGCTCTCCGTGCAGTATTCAGTGGGGAGTGTGCAGGACATCAGTTGGAAGTGCGTCTGCTTGCAATATAACCAGGGACATGATTGTAGACCTGAGACTGGGGCAGAAAGGAGAACACAGCAGAAGGTAGAAAAAGAGGAGGCAATATCTCAAACTCAGCTGCAAAGTTTATTTTGTACACGCCTTATATACCACAACTCCAACGCTGTCTCTAAAAAAAAAAATATATATATATGACAAGAGGACAATGAAATTTGGGTAAACCTTCTCTTATCTCCCTTGACCTCTCCTGCGAAACACTCACACAAAGGGTCACATTCTAGCATAACCACCGCCATTCGGCGTTGGAGTTGTGGTATATAAGGCGTGTACGAAATAAACTTTGCAGCTGAGTTTGAGACGTTGCCTCCCCTTTTTCTACCTTCTGCTGTGTTCTCTTTTCTGCCCCAGTCTCAGGTTTACAATCATGTTCAACTTACACCAGCTCGCCTGCACTCTGACTATTTTTTCGATAACCAGGGCTATGCTGTTTTTTTATGTACTTCACTTGCAAGTGTGATCTATGTTTGCAACTATTGTACATTGGTTGTGCTTAATTCGAAAACTGTATTTTTAGTGACTTATGACTGGTCTTTAAGGTAATAATGGCTTTATTTGTTGATTTCAGGAAATGTACTCTCTTGTCCATTTTTTGGCGGAAAATGATGTCGCAGTTGTTCCTACCTGTTGGGTGTGCAATGGCTGCACGGCAGGGCCACCCTACAAATCAAATCGATTGATGATGGCAATTAGAGAGCGTGAAGAGCCCTCGACTGACTGGGCCACATTCTCCTGTCAGGTGATGGCATCATGTTGTAAGTATAGCAGGGTGTCTAGCAACCGGGAAAACCGGGAATTGTCAGGGAAATTTCAATTACCGGGAAAAATCAGGGATATTGTCAAAAATCAAGCCCAGTCATGGAAAATGAGCCGGAAATGCCATTGAGTACCCTGAGCAAAGAGTTGAGAACTTTGGTGCAGATAAATAGGCAATAAATTCTGCTTAGAGCGGAGCGCTGACTCTGCTCACCCAATGTAGAGGGTGCTAGAGCACTGCTCGAGCCAGAATTTCTAGACCCGGCCCGGTAGAGGCACGGCCCGGGTTTGGCCCGAGCCTAATAGAATATTTAATTTCCGGGCCCGGCCAGACTTGGCCTTGAAGAGACACGGCTCGGGCCCGGCCCGGACCCGACAGAATTTTAAACAGAAGCTTGAGCCCAGCACGAGCCCGACAAAATTTTTGTTTTCTTTAATATAAACCTGAGCTGGCCCAATCCTCACAGATTATATACATGAGCCCGGAAAAGTTGGCAGGCTTTAACCTAAAAGCTGTCTAACCATAAAGCGAGCATATTTGATTTAATGAACAAAAGTTTAGGGTGCAAACAAGCTTGTGGTGGTTAAACATTTGACTGGTGTGCTCGGCTTTCTTGTTTCAGTGACATAGGAAAATGCAAAGTACAAAAAAAAAATTCGGAAGCGACGTCCGACCTAACATTGAATAATGGAGAGCGGGAGAAGAGAAAAAGGAAGAGACTGCAGCATACTCTTTCTTCATTTGAGGATGAGGACTTCTATGACCAAGATGTATGCACCTAAATTTCTGCAACACCTTTGTATTAGGGATTCATTTGCCCTCCTTTTTCATCAAGCTTGCCTCTTCTGCAGGAACGACGTAACACTCAGCCAGCCCCTCAACTTCCAGAACGTGCACCAGAGCCCAAGCAAAAACGCACACGTGTATGTTTGCTTTTTGTCGCTGCAATTTCTTTTAACGCTTTCCAGCATTTAGCCTTTTTATTTTATGTGATTAGCCTCAGCTTGGTTAGCCGCAATTGTGATAATGAATGGTATCCATATTGTTTATTGAGCACCTGCTGTTTTGGTGTTTCTTTTAGAGCGCAGCTCTTAGGCGCCCGTTTCCGGCTTGAGTGGTGTCGCCGTCGCCGTAACCGCGGCGACGTTTTGGCAAGGTGACGTTTCGGCACCATGCCAAATTGTCCTCGCGGGGTCACGTGACCCCCGTCAGGAGGATCACGTGACCTCACGGTTACGGCGACGCCGCTCGGAGGGAGGTGTGGCAGGGAGGAGGGGTATACCCTTTCCTCGGGACCCTTCCCTCCTCCTCTAGAGCTGCACTCTAATTTAGCGTTGCAGGGAGTTGTAAACGGCTTTCATTTTTTTTATCTAGTCATTTTTAATTTACAAAGCTGCTAGTTGTGGTATGCTTCCTCGCACAAGGACAGTTATAGCCTAAGGGATAGTGAAGTGGATATTTTTTTTTAATTTGACGGTGCATATGTTTGCTTTGTATTGCTGCAACCTCATGTTTGCATAATTCTGCTGTACTAGCCATTTTTATTTTACAATTTTATTTATTTTGTTTATTTATCTATGCTTTCTGGTCAAAGGATACATTAGAATGCTTGCTGTTTGTGCACTCTAACCCTAGCACTTTTTATGAACCTGTCCTCTGCTTTATATGTGGAATGGTTTGGGCAGCGTTAGGATTGACCACTTCTTAAAGAAAGGTGGTACATTTTGTTTTACACCACCGAGCACTCTTTGGTATAAGGTACATTACCATATAGCTGAATGACACAATCAGCTATACACGTTTGCAAGCAGTCATGTTTCCAAAAGTAGTCTAGCCACCATGGGTAGGGAAACGTGCTCTCAGGGTACCAATCTGTCAATTAGCTTAGTGACGCTTTAGCAAGCCTTCATAATCGGATTATCTCGGGTGCACCCGAGCTGGAAGATGGCAGCGCGCAAGGGCCCGCCATTTTGCAGACTGTCTCATTTTTGTTAGTGAGAGAAAACAAAGGCTTCTTCAGTATCATCTAGGAAAACCACATGTCCAATATTATCTGCATTTAAATCTTTATGAAATGGATCAGCAAACTGCTAACCCTAGCTGACAATGTAGGCGCAAACGACAGCGCAGTTGCTACTACGGCTTCAGTGCACCAAACATCAATTTACTATGTCAGGTGCATTGTTACGTTTTCTTTGTTTCTTCCATGCACAGTCATTCCTTGACTCGAGCAATGTTTTCTCCAAAAGTTGGTTCAGCGGTGTCCACATGATTGGCACAGACCTGGATGTGCACGTTTCTCATGGTTCACCTCTGTTAAATAATAATGGCATTGTTTGCACAATGTTCACATACTCAATGGCTTATTTATGTACTATTTAGTAGACCTCGCTGCATACTAATGTTCCTGAGATATTTATTCCTTTGAGAAAACTTGGCTTTAGCGTAGGTTGCAGTGGTGCAGATGTCGTCCGGCACGGAGCAGACAACACTCAGGCCCGTCTGTTTGCGTCGTCCTCGCAGGGGTAACACATCATCATTTGTACCATGGGATTGGTCATGTCTCCTCCGTCTCTGCCATCGTTGCCTGTAGAAGCCGATGTTTCGGGTTTTATTTGGGCTATGTTTAAAGCAAAATTGCATAGGAAATATTCCACCAATGCATGAAATAAAATAGTTATTTTTATATTTCTTTTTAAATTTATTTTTAATTTTTATTTTAAGTCTTATAATTCCAAAAGTTTTGGAATTAAGCAGAGTTGCCTTTTAACAACAAATGGCTATAGCTAAACAGGGCACACAAGTGAGGAGCTTTTTTTTTTCTGAAAAGGCGAAATCCACATGAAGCAGAACAGATAAATTGGTATGTTTGCTTATCAGTCTAGCTTTGAGCCATGTGCCGCAGCCACCTCTGCTGTGGTTTTTATAGCGTACTCTGACCGATTTCACTGCAGTAGCATTTGAGATCGATGGACCAACGAATATAGTTTGAATTCATACAAAAATTTCCTTGGTTTCAGTTTTCTGAATTTGGCTCTTTTAGATGAAAGGAAACTGTGTCCTTGTGAAGCATGTGACAGCAGCCCACATAAGCTCACTACAGTGAAGTTTTGTCCCATGCCTCGCTCCCGAGCTATCTGGCTCATTGACAGGGTGTCTAGCACCTTGGAAAAGCTGGAATTGTCAGGAAATTTCGGATCATCTGGAAAAGTCAGGGAATTGTCAGGGAGATAATCAAAAAGTTAGCCAAATCAGGGAAAATGGCCAGGGCGAGTAATGCGGTGGTGTGCGACGAAGCCAGGACAGTCGTGCGTTGACGTGGCTGTGCTAAATAACATTGCCCGAAACTTTGTAAGTCTTTGACTTCTTGAGCAACATAAAGACCGATTTCAATAAATTGTTTTAAATTGTGAGTGGTGTTCACTTATGAGGTGTTTAGTAGCAGTTCGTACCACATCTCCAAACTTCTGTAATGGACAGGGAATTTAAAACCTGGAAAAGCTGGGGAACATAAAAGGAGGGATTTGCTAGACACCCTGGCTGATTTCATAGTTACCGATGTCTGCCAAGTTATGCTGAAGTAGGGCATGAAATTGTCGATATTTCACTGTGGTAGCTGACGTTGTGTTGTAATTATATACTTTTGAAACAGGAGCTGTCCGCACCTGCTTTAAACAGAAGGCAGAAAACAATGAGCCAGCCATCATCGTGCAGGAAGCCGACGCCAAATGGGCTGCTGCTGAATCGGTCAGGCATGCACCAGCGAGGACCAAGAAAATGGTAATATGATATTTCTAATTTTGCTTAAACTCCCGAAAACTACTTTTGCATCCTAAAACAAGCCCAGATTTCAAACAAAGGCATTAGTCTACTTTCCATAAAGACATTTTTAAGTATTAAGAAATTTATTTAGCCAATGAAAGAACACTATGTTATGACATTGTCTGCAATGAGCTTGACATTGTAGAAAATATGAGGCTCATTGACATTGCCCCTGGGTCCGGACAGCTCATCAAACGCCGTTTCATTGAACATTGTTTCATCGAAGCTGTTTCATTGAACGCAGTTTTATTGAACACTGTTTCATTGAACGCCATTTCATCGAAGTTGTTTCATTGAAGGTAGCCTATTTGAGCAGTAGAAATATTTTTCTTTTTAGTGCCGGGAGAATAGCAGTGTTTTAATATTTATTGTAACTTATAAACTTATATAGATATAAAAGGAAGGAACCTTTTTTTGTCACCTTCTATTCTTTTTGTTTTAGTAAATGATGACTTCTGTTAATGAGGCCAATAAGACACGGTGTAACACTAACGACACTTTTAAAAGCTGTGATCATCAGGTGCAGTGATGAATGCACGTCCATTCAAAAGCGTATATATATCTTCGTCCTTGAAGAGACCTATTCTGCTTCAAGACGAAGCCGTCCTTGAGGCAGTGATCTGTCTCCGTGGCCCATGATACGGGGAAAAGAAAAGACGTGTCTCCTCTCTTTGTTAATTTATTATAACCGACAGAACCGTGGACCTGCCGGATATTCGACATATAGTAATATACTGCATGTCAAAGATCCGACAGGTCCACGGTTCTGTCGGTTACAAAAAATTGACGAAGAGGGCAGGCACGTCTTTTTTAAGAACATCTATGTTCTTAAAAAGAAAGCTATTCTCTTAGGATAAAATGAAAACAAAGTTAAATCTACAAATAGAAAATAAAAAAGGCGCTGCGGAAAATAGCTGTTTCCCGATTAAGAAAGTGCCTTTCATGCATGAATAAATAGAAGGTTGAAGTGGGAAAAAGTGAGTGGCCGAAAACAGCCGCCTACCTTGCCAGAAAAGAATAAGTCGCGTATCCACTGTCTTCTGCGGTTAGGTCACACTTTGCGGTAAAATTCTAAACTGGATGAAAAGAATGGCTTGTGCATGCAAAGAAACTGTGGTGAAACTGCTAGGACAGATGTAGGCATTTCTTTTTTTATCTTGATGACACTCTCTGCCCTGAAATAGGCACCCAATTTCTGAATGCAACCAACTTTTTTGTGTTATTTTTTTGCAGGAGCAGTGTGCCTCTTCTCAGGAGTGACTGAGGATCTGCCACAAGGGGAGAAGGCAAGCATGTTTCTGATTACAAGGATGGACAGTTGGGCTGGGCTAGTTGGTAAGAATTGATGTTGAAAAACGGTGCGAAAACCAGACAAAGGAAAAAGAACACAGAGTGCCTTGTCCTGTGTGTTTTCTTATCCGTGCATTTTGCGCTGTTTTTCAGCATGTTTCTGCCGTGATTTTTCTGTTAGTTTTAAATGTTAGTAGTTGGTTACTTTGATCCCAGTTGGGAGCATGGAATTGGTTAACCGTGCTAAATGCATAGAATTGAAAAAAAAATTCATGCTACCTAAATCATTTAAAATGCTTTTTTTCTAATGATTTCTTTCTCTTTTTTTCAGCCATCCCATGAGTAGAGTCCCTGTTCTTTGAATTTTTTATGTCAATTTGTAATATGCATATGTTACCTTTAATTTCTATTCATGCATACATTTTTGCCCCAGCTAGTGGTTTGTTTTATTTAATTTATGTACACATTAGTGTGGTATTTTTAGAAGATTTAAAATTTATGTTCTTTTTCTAGTCATTTTTGGTTTATTGCCTCCGTTATTTATTTATATGTCCTAGCCCAAGATCGGGTGTAATTTGAGATATATTTAGAATTTTATTTTAAGCCACTTGCTTTATGTTGCTGGGAGTTTTAATATTTTACATTTTTATTTTTATGCAGATCAGCCTTGTAATTTAGTGTGTTCTTTACAATTTTGTAGATCTAATAGCTTGTAAGAAACGGAAGAATTCTCTGGTACTTGTAATGTTGGTTTCGTTTTTGAAATAAATTTATTCCAATAACTTCTTGTTTTCTTCCGGAGTCCTGCTTCTACGATTTCAAAATGCTGATTCATTAATGGCTTGTAATGCACACCCATTTACTCATATCAGGCACCAGCTCAAAAAATGACTTCATGACAACCATAAATACAGTTTCCTGGCAGCGCTTGTCAATGCATTTTCGGATAACATTGTTCAGTAATGTCCAAGTAACACATGCAGTAATATCTGGCCAGTGCCAGCATATTGTAAAAATGTTTACTGAAAGTTAACAGAATAAAAGCACTGAGGAAAAACAGATGACCGCTCTTTCATTTAGTTACGACGCTCGTTTTTGGAAGCAAAGACTCGCGCACAGGTCAAGATTAACTGCAAAAGGAAGGCTTGATCAAAGGAACTTTAGGGAGATAAGGGATGAGTCAGTAACACTCCACCTTTGGTATCTAGATGATCTCGACCTGTATGCGACTCTTTGTTCCTCAAAAAATAAACGTTGTCGCGAAATGAAAGAGTGGTCGTTTGTGTATGTTCTTCACATTTTTATTCCTTTACTTTTAAGTAAGCCGTAATGTCAGTGCAACATTTTGGTGTAACATTACTGGATGGTAGAATTCGTGGCCATTAACAACAACTAGCAACGTTAGCGACGACGTCCGAGTAACATCACTGATCTAGCATCCAGGACACATAGAGAGCTATGTTACTGCAACATTTTGATGTGACGTTACACTCTTAAAAAAAAAAGAGTCGCTATGACTCTCTTTGGGGGGTATTGGCGCGCCGCAGAATCGACTCCAGTTTGTAGAGTCGCTCGACTCTTTTTTAAAGAAGAGTCCTGCGACTCTCATCACACTAGAGTCATGGTAGTGTATGGGCGACTCCAGGTGACGTCGTCAACTCCGACTCTTTAACGACTCTTATCCAACGGAGAAAAAGAGTCACACGACTCCTTCCTGGTAATCCCCGTGACTCTGTAACAAGAGTTGTGAGGACCCTCTTTTTATGAAGAGTCCCCCGACTCCTATCGCAAAAGAGTCATGGGAGTGTATGAGCGACTCTCCGAAAGATAGTCAGTGGTGACTCTCACTTTGTTTGGAGTATAGCAGCCCTAGTCAAGTATCAGTTTGTTGAACAAAGGAAGGCATTGTGATCGCTAGGAGACTTCTTGCCACTTGCGAGGTTCAACTTGAATTACTCTAAAACAAGGGTAGTAACATCAACTGTGGGAAAGTATAAAAGTTGAAATGGAAACTTCGATTCCACCTAAAAGAAGCGGTAACATCAATTGTCTGCAAAGTAAACGTCGAAATGCAGAACTGATATCTTACAATTTCCTGTAATGAAACATGGAAAAATGAACGATGATGGCCTTAACGATGCTGAACTGAATGCTGCTCTAAAATTTATCATGAAACACAACAGAAGCTTTCAGGACAGCATTGTTTTGTTACATTAGAATTAGCACACAACAAAAAAAAAGTAAAAGTTTTTTTAATTGGCAGCTTAACTTTCTATTAGTTTGTTTATACTTATCATTTACAATAGGTTGTATATATATTTTTGTCACATGTCTATACTATTGGCAAGAGCTGCTGTGAACGAGCATGTTCTGTTGCTTTATGCCTGCTTTGAGTGGGCAGGTGGGTGGCAATAAATTGCAGGAATCTTCAAATTTAACAATAAAGATAGCCGTTTTCTCTGAGCTCATATCACTGCCATTTGTGGAAATGCAACTTCATGAGTCCTACCATGCAGGCACTGCAAAACAAGCCACAAGTATTTAAAACAATTACTTTATTAGAAATTAATGTGATACATACTGGTTCAAAAGCCTGCTTCGGCTTATTACAGGGGTTATATCACAAACACTAAACAAATAACATCATAAGAAATAATACTAATACAAAAAACTGGTATAACTATTAGACAAGAACGAAAATAAATTAAAATGACAAGTTTTGTGAAGGCTTGCTTTGCCTGCTTGATGTCGAGGATTAAATTAGAATTTAAAAAAAATTACAACAAGTTTCCTAAAAGCTTTGTTTGCCTACTTTCTGTTTTTTCAAAGCTTTGTTTTTCTTTTTGCAGTTTCTTCTTCTATGGTTTGAATCCTCATATCAACAGATGCACAAAAGAAAGATCTAACAGAAGTTTAGATACACAATGGAACACACAAACCTTTGTATTATAGCTGGAATATTCACCAAATACATATGGAAAACACTAAAATAGTAACCAATATTGGTAATTCTTTTTCCCTGTTCTAGGAATGTGCTCCAAGTGCTGTCACAACTTTCACAGCTCTTACCGAAATCTTTGTATTTTTTTTTACCCATGAGGGTGCTCAAACACAAAAAGTGTGCTTCGTCGATTCCCCCCACATACTGACCTTTCTATGCTCAGTACATGGCTAATACCCGAGAGATTCCTGCTGAAAAGTCCAGGATGTCGATTCATAGGTCCTCGCAGACAACGCACATGCTGCCAGATGTCCATGGGTGCTTTCCAGTGAAAAGTAACGCCGGGTTCCCGAAAGTCTTTACTAGGTGGGTTCTGGGAAAAAAGAAGCCAATGATAAGAAATAAGTTCTGGAAGTCAGACGAAGTTGTAGGTGAGCAAAGTAAAATTGAGGACATGTTAAGTGCCCGCAGTGTCATAGATGGAAAGTCCATGCAACAGAGTGAAGGCAAGTGAGGCAGACGCCCATTGCTGCCTTTCTATATTTCGCTTTCCCCAATTCTCACTTGATTGTGAAGCATTTCGTACGGTGGAACTAGTGCATCAGGGTGTCTACCAAATTACTGATTTCAAATTCCTCGACTTTTCTAGAATTTCCATTGACTATTTTGATAAAAACTTTCTGA